TTTAAATGTAAAAACATTTATAAGCAATATTTGGGAATATGGGTGCAGTTATTTCTCTCCAAACTGCTTCGTGCTGAATGGGGGCCCTGTTATTTAGGTCTTTCATGGTATAACCTGTGTGCTAGATTCATCTCAGTCGGCAGTTGAGCAAAGTAATTTCTTGAGAGTGTTTACAGCAACCTTTCAGGAGGGCGTGGTCTATCATACCATATTGGGATAGAAGCAATCCACAGGGTCTCATCCTCTGTGAAAACAAAAGAAGGACCTGCTTTCCAAAGCATCATATTCTTAGACCCAAATTCTGAAGTCAAGATACCTTTAGAACAGATATGTTGAATCAGCTTAACAACCCACACAATGAAACATTTCTCTGTATTCAGCTCCTTTACAGTCAAAAAATTCATAGAAAACACAATATACAGAATCCAAACTCTCTGTGAATTTTCCATTTTTACGTGGCTTATTTTTACTGTATCACTTTACTTTATTCTGTCTCTTTAAAGACTTTACCCTTTTTTTTAAAAGGCATTAATTTTATTCTCTATATTCTTTTTCTTCTCTCTCCTAAGCCAACGTACAGTCATCCATCACTATGACCCATTTAGAGATCTTTTATGTCTGAATCTGTCCTATTGTGAATCTGTAATTTTTTACTACCTAGGAGCATTTTTGTTTTGTAGTTTTAAATCACTAAGCACTTAATAATCTAAGCTGTGACATTCCTAGGTCAAAAACAGGTACTGCCTGCTTGCCCAGCCCAGCCCAACATGGCGGAGCTGCTTGTGCCTCTGAGCCTTGCACATTGCACTGCTAACATGGCAGAGGCACTTGTGCCTCTGAGCCGCAGCACACAATGACCCCCTTTTGGGCACACAGTGAGTCTAGTTGCCATCAAACAAATCGTAGCACTTTACTCCAAATGTTCCACTCAAAAGCTTTGTCTCCCGCAGGAGCCAGACAGAGATCGCCGTGGCCGCACTGCCCAGAAACTGGTATTTTAAAACCGCCACTTTCTAATAGACCTGATCCCGCTGCCTACTCAGACAGGAAGAGCTGAGCCACGGGCATGGTCTCAGCTACTTTGTTCCTGTCCCCGAGTGGGCACACAAATGTCTGGGCCCAGAAATGCTCCATAGCCAGAGTTTGTACTGCAAGAAGCTGCATTTTAAAATGACGCAGCTTTTGTTTTCTGCTGCTGTTGCTGAATCAGGAAATCTCTCTACAGCACATCCTAGCAAACAGCAAAAAGCTATGCTAAACTCTCTTCCCCACTCTCCTTTTTTAAAAGCCCTCTCAGGTTTTCAAGTGGATTTAGTTACCACGTTGGAGCGCCACTCTGTATAAGGAACGGTGGTATCAGGAATATGCAAAGGCCAAAAACACCTGGTGAGATGGTACAGCTGGCATAGGTACCTGCTGCCAAGCCCGATGGCCTAAGTTCAATCTCTGGAGCCCAAATGGAGGAAGGAGATAGCAGATTCCCACGTTATTCTCTGACCACACGTGTGCCATCGTGTACCCTGTGTATCTCAAAGAGAACAGAACAGGAACTATAACAGAAAAGATCAACCATCTAAGAAACTTCTCTTGCAGAGTTCATTGCAGTCAGAATGCAGAGAGCAATGACTGTATGGTGCCCAGCCCTCATTCATAAGTCTGCGACACAGCCCCTACGCGTAAGGCTCAGAGAACCATTGCGGAAGAGGGGACCGGAAGACCGGGAGCCGGGCGACCGGGACAGGACATCTACTTTGATAGTGTCCTTTCAGATAGGGAAGTCGAACCCAGGAAATCTCAACAATGGGGTTGCCCAAACAAGACCTAAAGACTGACAACACCAATTGACATGCCAGAGTGGAGTGGGTGAGAGCTCACAAGCCTGCGCCCTGGTGAAGAACTGCAGACCAGTAGTGGTTGTTGAAAGAGGGAGGAACAGTTTTTCTCCAGAGACAGGACCACTGACAGGTTGGCCAGTCCCAAGAGGTCAGCCATATATGTGTATATAACAATCATAATTAAAGAGCTAGAGGCTGTGAATTTGAGAAGTGGGAGGAGTTAGAGGGAGAAGGGGGATGAGGTAAATACAATCCTTATATTTGAAGTTCTAAAAACCCAATTAAAAGTAATACTTACTGTTAAAAGAGTAAGAGATAAAATTAGCACAACAGAAATGGTTAAGAGAAACAATGCTAATATGAATGGGCATGCCCCTGCCCTGGTAATAACAACAGTCATTGTTGGTGAAACCGAAGAGTCTTTTCCCATTACCGGAAAAAGACAGGATGCAAGTCATACCATGACGGCTCTAATGTTAAAATGTTTACATGGGACAAAGACCAAAAATTAACATACTAGCAGTATATTGTTCTCAGAGAGGGGACTATGCTATTGCAATGGACTTCTCACAGAGTGCTTTAGTGCAGTTACTAAGTTGCTTGTGGCCATCTCCAGGAAATAGCCTGCACTGTTTTCAAGATGAGGAGAAAAGTTATCAACCCTTCCTGTCTTGATCATCGAGGCATTTGTCACCGTGGCGTTTCTCTCTAATGTAACTTCCCACCTCTGCCTCTGTCAATATTCAGTGTTAACCTTTTATTATCCTTTCAATGGCCCGAAGAGTTAATTCTGTCTGCTCTTTTGATAGTAAGCTGGTCCAATCCTTTTTGAAAGTGGAAGAATTGAAGACAAATAATAAAAACTATAAAAGAGTAAGAATAAAAGAAAGGAGTTTGGCTCTCAGAAGCCCAAAGGAAGGAGGGACTCCATCCGAAACCAGCCAAGGATAAATGTTTTCAGCACTCTGCCTCAAATAAACCACAGAGAAAATGCCATCTCTATCAAAATGATACGAGAATTTCAATTTCAGAAATGGTCTCAGGATGATACTTATGTAGCCTTTCCTCCAAAGGGAAATGATGCCACCATGCGATAGTATCATTGACGACTTTAGGCTGGCTGTGGACAAATCTCTAGCACCGGGCACAGCTAAAGGAACAGAATAGCGCTATTGAAAACGACTCCCGCGAAAGGAACAGTAGTACCCTTGTGCCCTTGAACAACAGATAAAATCACACGCTTTTGTCCTTGAACATGTTACTCAGAAAGCTACCTAAAAGAAATCTTGTCATAGTGCTCAAGGGAGGATATGGGAGTTTCTTGGATACGTTTCAACAATACTGTATCTGCGGGCTCATAGGCTTGCTCCTGTCGCTGATATACTAGGGGGAAGGTGTCCACAAGGGCACCTCATTCATCATACCCATATTTATGGCCCAGATGACCAATTCCATAGACCCAGTGAGGACAGATAGATAAGCGGTTGGTTTAACAGACTGTAGATTTATGGACGGTGGCTTGAGGAATAAGGAAAATTTCCTTGCATTAGAATATATTAATTGTACAAAATAACGGGTTTCTTCATGACAGCTTGATGCACGAGTGCCGCTCCTGTGACCGTGTCCACCAGCAGCTTTCTGGCACACGCCTTAGTGCAGAGGACAAGAGGTAGACTCTGGACACAACAGAGCAGAACATTAATGGTCACGCTATGTTCATCTCTGCAGGCCCACAACGGTGTGAGTGTCTCGCTCTCGCCACCCGGGCCTGCTATAATGGACTGGCAGCCTCAAACAGAGAGCCTAAAGAACCCCCCCGCCCCCCGTCAGCTCTAAACGTCAGATACTTCCTCACCATCAAAGACGATGGCCACGAGAGAAATTCTCTACTCCCAAGGGCTTCTTTACTGAGTTTGTATATACGTGTCTGGGTCTTTCCCCTCTCCTCCACGAATACAATAGCTCCATGGAAGCTGGAAGGAGCTGGTTTCATTTCTGCTGCTCCGCCGGTACACTGAGCATGGTAGCACGTGGGTAATGCATCGCTTGCATGTGTGTTTGCACTGTATCAAACTGTAGTGAGCAGAGTGTATCCCTCTGTAGTGATCAGACCCTTCAGTGAGTTGGGAATGTCATCAGCAAGACAATTTTAACAGACTATAGTCAGGTATACGGGGCGTGTCCTGAGGTGATGCACACAGTACAGTCTTTCTTTGACCCAGGGTAGCGTCTGGGGTGTGAATGAAAGTTCTGGAACGAAACTTCAACTTACACGGAACCTTCTACAAGGCTAAGTATCAGAAATGATTGTGGAGAGGTTAGAGAGTTGCAGCTCCAGAGTCTAATTATAGTTTATTTCGGGGGCTACCTTTGGCCTCTTAATAGCCATTCTTTATGTGGCCTTGTTTCTGATAAAATATCCTTGTGACTATCTAGTGAATTTTCACTTCATGTTACGTTAGCAGGTTTCCTCCAACCCTAAAGCTAACGTCACCATACAGCTTCTGAGGCCGAGAGCAGAGACGTCTGTGCTTCGCCGTGGTCTGCCTACCTGCTGTTTCCACCAGTGGGTTTGAAAAGTATCTTGACTTCTGGTCTTCTTCGTTCTGTTACTATAAAAACATTATGAAATGGCTACTTTGTTGGAAAATGATATTTGGGGAAAGCCAGAATTGAATCTTCTGGACCATGGGCATTCATATTTGCTTCTCGAATAAACCTCTCCTTTTGATTCTCTAGAGTGAGTGTTGTTTTATTCTTGACAAGGGGCTATGCAGAACTGAAGGAGCTGGCATCCATGGCAAGTCCCAGGAAGTCAGCTCACGGGCCCTCTAACTCCCTAGAGGCCTCTCTTCCTGGTCCTCAACTGTTTGTCATGGGTCAACTCTCACCCATTCTTAATGTGCCTGTGCCTTTCAGTTTGTGGGTAGTTTTCCTAGATGTTGTCCCTCTTAACATCTGGAGTGACAGAAGCCACAGAATGAAATACTCCTTAATACTGGGCCCAGGCTGAGTTACAGCCATCTTCCCTCCCGCCCCACCCACTGCATCATAAAGAGACAGGTAAGCCCCAGCATTGTGAGCTGTGATGTGCAAGAGGGTACTTTGGCCCTCAACCCCTCCCCCCCGTCCCCGGAAACATCAGTACAGTGTGGATACCAGAGGTTGGAGGAACTGTGCGGAGTAGTGATTTGTACTGCAATTGTATTAGTGAGTGAGTGAGTGAGTGCAAGCGAGCGAGCGAGCAAGAGTGAGACTGAGAGCGAGCGAGTGAGCAAGCAAGCAAGTGAGTGAGTGAGCGAGCAAGCAAGAGAATCTGCAGCGAGGAGAGGTCCCCTGACCTCAGGGTAGGATCTAGGAAGAGCAAGGCTCTGGTGAGAGAACATGTGCTCCCAAGAATCGGTCTCTTACTTTCTGAAGAACAGGAGACTTCAATATACCGGGACCCATGAAGGATCGGTGGGACAAACCCCTAGGCCTGCCCCTAGGTCTTATGTGGCAGTCCAGGAGATTAAACTCCTCTGGGATGCCCCAGAAAATAGAAGAGGTCTGGGCAGTAAGCAGTTTAGCATGGAAGAGCTGCTTCACCAATCTCATGGCAAGAAGAAGCCAGAACACCTTCCATGGCTTACAAGCTCTGTTAGCGAGGGCCATTCCCCTGACCCTAAAGGCTGTCTGAACATAGTCTCCATAAGGGTCCTGCGGGGTGACTCTGCGGATGGCCAGGGGCACAGGCGGACATTTGTCGGGCACATGGGTTTGCCGAAGAACAGTCCCGAAGCAGTAACAGCGTGGGAGGCCCAGGTGAAAAGGAGAACAACGGCGGCGTTGCTTGGCAGGGCCAGGAAGCAAACGGGGAAAACCCCAAAACCAGAAGACGCCAGGCAGTTCCTGGAGCAAGAGGTGGTTATGAACAACAAAAGCCCAAGCAAGACATGTCAGCAGCCAAAGAACCTAGAGGATCTGAGGAGGGACCATCTGGAAGGAGAAGGGGACATTGAAGAACTCAAACAGCCACGAGGACTTGGCAGATGTGGCAAACAAGTTGCTCCTTTAGAAGAAAACATCTTTTTGCAGGGCAAGAGGATCAAGCCCCTTTCTAGACGTCCAATGCAGGCAGTGTGCCCTCCATCAGTCAGAGAGGAGTGGCCTGGAGAAAAGCTGAAGCCGGCGCCATCGGGGCAAGACAAACTGGAAGACACGAAAGTTTCCAAAGAAAGGGAAGCACAACCTCAATTCCCGCAGGAAAATACTTTTCTGGAGGGACCATCAGGGGTTTTGGACAAGAATCTGCTGGCAGAAGCCAAACCCCAGCTCCTAAACAGGAGGAAGATGCAGGCCTTGGAAATGGCCAAATCTCATGAAGAATTCTGGGTGGTCGACACCAGATGGAAAACACAGCTGTCTTTTCAGGGCAGCAAACAGGGTGCTTCAGGAAGAAACATTGTGAGGCATAAGTGTCAGCCCAGGGAGGAAGTCTGGGACCCCACAATTCAGGGGCTCCCAGTCGTTCTTGCATCTCGTGCACATACTTACAGCTATCAGGGACCAAAAGATGGGCGTGCTTCAAAGACCAGGCTGACTTTGAGGAAAGGTAGAGCAAATATCACCTATTCATAAGTGCTGAGGGTTCTATGAGGTTGGCTTATGTTTGGGTGGATGTAAGCATTGCAGCTTGAAGGGAAAGGGGGCTCCTGGGAGTCAGGAGCCAAAGTCAGTGACCACAAAGTCAGCTTACAGCCCTGCTCCATGGAAAGGTTTCCCCAGTGCAAGTGTGACAGCTCTGCTCAGGTCCCCTGGAATGTTACAATTCTGCTCTCCTAGGGGAAAGTTTTCCCCAGGGAAAGTGTTACAGCCCTGCTCTGCTCCGACTTTGGTACAAATAAATTGCTAAAGTTGGGTTCTATCCAGTGAAAAGTGTCACACTGCACAGGAAAGAATGGGAAAAATCCAGGAGGGTGGGTGGTTGCCTTTAGGGTGAGAAACAGCAGCAAACTGAACGGGGTACAGAGCTTATATAGGATGTCTTGTGGGATGGAACTTCCTAGGGTGACGTGGGAATAGAGGAATTTTGTAGTCCTTCCTTCCTTCCTTCCTTCCTTCCTTCCTTCCTTCCTTCCTTCCTTCCTTCCTTTCCTTCCCTCCCCTCCCTCCCCCTTACTCTTTCTTTCTTTCTTTCTTTCTTTCTTTCTTTCTTTCTTTCTTTCTTTCTTTCTCTCTAATGGTTTTTATTGAACTATATATTTTTTTGATTGGTGGGATTTCAAGCTCTGGTCCTGGGGTCAAGTCAGGGTCAGGATGTTTTTCCTTGATCCTTTTTACCCCACATCCCCCCCATTTTTTTGTTTATTGATAAACAAAGAAGGGTTTGGAAGGGTTGTGCCATTGTCATTAGACTACGTCCTGTTGATTGAGGGGATCCATGTCCTTGGGGGCAATTCTGATTTTCATCATCAGAATGTAACTGGGTGCTGCAGGCCTCTGGCTCTTTAGTCAGGGACCAGTGATCCTGTAAGAGTAACTGGCTAGAAATCTTTTGAATCTGTTGTCCTAGAATCTAGACAAGAAGTTTACAAGGCGGGGTACAGCTAGCAGGTTTTAAGAAAAGGAGAAGAGAGATGCAGAGGATGGAAGATGAGACTGCCTCACCAGAAAAGGTACCAAGCCACTTGGCTAACACAGACAAGAATTATGGGCTAAGAGTTAATAAGAAGCCTGAACTACTAGGCCAATCAGTTTATAACTAATGTAGACCTCTGTGTGATTTCTTTGGGACTAAATGACTGTGAGAACTGGGTAGAACATAAACCTCAGTCAACAGCTTTAGCTGTGAAACCTTGCAGCTCTTTTAAGAGGCCCTGCCACCAAACACTTAAATGGTGTTTATGAATAGCCTACAACATGCTTTTTGGTGGTGGCAGGAACCTTGAAATGCCATATTGTTGTGGCAGTAAACATGGCTCTGGCCAGTACCTCTGCCATAAGGCTAGAATCTCAGAAAGCTAAGGAATGGGCTGGATCCAGTCATCAAAGCCACAGCTTTAATCCTAGCCATATTGCATAGCAAATTAAAGACTCATGTAGTCAGAAAAAGAGGGATACAGTAAAGACACTTTCAGATAGAAAAGCCTCTAAATGATTTACAATGTGTTTAAAATATATGTAGGCTTGGGGGAAAAAAGAATAAAGTCCTTACAATAAAAAATAAAAATGAGAGTAGTTGGGTGTGGTGGCAAACACCTTTAATTCCAACACTTGGGAGGCAGAGGCAGACAGATCTCTGTGAGTTCAAGGTGTGGTGACACACACCTTTAATCTCAACACTTGGGAGGCAGAGGCAGACAGATCTCTGTGAGTTCAAGTTGCTGTGTTACTCACCTTCATTCCCAGCACTTGGGAAGCAGAGGCAGGTGGATCTCTGTGAGTTCAAGGACAGCCTGGTCTACAGAGTGAGTTCCAGGACAAAGATACACAGAGAAACCCTGTCTCAAAAAGCCAAAAATAAAAATAAAAGAAATACTCACTCATAAGCGGATTCTAGCCATAATTAAAGGACATTGAGCCTATAAATAGTGATCCTAGAGAAGCTAAATAAGAAGGTCAATCCAAAGAAAATCATATAGTTATTCTCATGGATATTGGAAGTAGACAAGATTGCCAGGCAAAACTTGGGTGCACGGGGGTGTGTAAGGGGAGATGGGTAGAGAGAAGGGAGAAGGGGAGGATTCAGGAGAGCTTGGGGGAATGGAGGAAGGGTGGATATGAGAGCAGGAAAGTAAATATCTTAATTAAGGGAGCCATTTTAGGGTTTGCAAGAGACTTGTCTCTAGAGGGGTTCCCAGGTCCAAGGAGAGGTCCCCAGATTGTTCCTTGGGCAGCAGAGGAGAGGGTGCCTGAACTGGCCTTGTCCCATAGCCACACTGATGAATATCTTGCATATCACCATAGAACCTTCATCTGGCAATGGATGGAGATAGAGACAGAGACCCATATTGGAGCACTGGACTGAGCTCCCAAGGTCCAAATGAGGAGCAGAAGAAGGGAGAGCACGAGCAAGAAAGCCAGGACCACGAGAGGTGTGTCTACCCACTGAGACGGTGGGATTGATCTAATGGGAGATCACCAAGGCCAGCTGGACTGGAAGTGATGGAGCATGGGATCAAAATGGACACTCTGAGTGTGGCTGGCAATGAAGGCTGACTGAGAAGCCAAGGACAATGGCACTGGGTTTTTATTCTACTGCATGGACTGACTTTGTGGGAGCCTGGTTTGTTTGGATGCTCACCTTTATAGACCTGGATGGAGGGGGGAGGACCTTGGACTTCCCATGGGCAGGGAACCCTGACTGCTCTTAAGACTAGAGAGGAAGGGGGAGGTAGGGAGGGGGAGAGAAAAGGGAGGTGGGGAGGAGGTGGAAATTTTTAATAAATAAATAAATAAATAAATAAATTTAAAATAAAAATAAAAGAAATAGAGCTTAAAATAAAGTCACATAAAGATGGAAAACACACAGAGAATCTGGATACTGTATGCTATTATGTTCTTTTTGAATTGTTTGCTGAGGAAGGAGTAACAGCTGCTAAAAGATATTTGTTTATAAATGCTGCTGAATTAATCCAAGATAGGTATTTTGAAAATACCTTGACTTTAAAATTGAAGTCAAAAGGTATATTACTTTAAAGAAGAGGTTTTGCTTTTGTTTCTACAGGAAATGAGAGGCTGTGGATTCATTCCAGGTTAAGAAAAATCAGGTTTGATGAAGGAAAATGCCCTGAGAAATCTCTGATAGGAGCGGATGGCCCAGATGTCTGAGTTATACATTCAGAACAGATTCTAGACTGCTGCCTGAGATGATCAGGTCCCACAGGATACTTTAGTCACGACTTGATCATGATTCTAAATTCTCTTTAGATTCCCATAAGATTGTCAACACCCCCAGTCAGCAGGAAGTAGCCTGGAAAACTACGCCCAAATTCCCAGAAAAATGGATTATGGATATTTTACTTTGTTTCAAATGTTAGTTACAAGTTATTATGAATAAAGATCAGGATAAAAGCTGAGCAAAGATTCAGAGTTTTTTTAAAGGGGGGGAAGTGCTGTGGGACAATGGTCTGTACCTTGTCACTTGTATTTTAAACAAATGCTGATTGGTCAGTAATCAGGCAGGAAGTATAGGCAGGGTGACCTGGCAGGAAGTAGAATTCTGGGAAGAGGGAACTTTCAGTCTATAGTCATGACCCAGCCTCAGAGGAAGCAAGATGTGACTCAGGAGATCTTGTCTTTTTCTACTTTCTACTTCCTATGTATATTAGATCTATGCAAGTCTCTCTTAGTGTCCACATTGTTGTCTAAATTCTCCGGGATTGTGGTTTATAGTCTGGTTGTCTTTGATTTATGTTTAAAAATCACCTATGAGTGAGTACACGTGACAATTATCTTTCTGTGTCTGGGTTACCTCACTCAAAATAATGTTTTCTAGTTCTATCCATTTTCCTGCAAAATTCAAGCTGTCATTATTTTTTTCTGCTGTGTAGTACTCCATTGTGTAAATGTACCACATTTTCCTTATTCATTCTTTGGTCGAGGGCCATTTAGGTTGTTTCTAGGTTCTGGCTGCTATGAACATAGTTGAGCACATGTCCTTGTGGCACGATTGAGCATCCTTTGGATATATACCCAAAAGTGGTATTACTGGGTCTTGAGGAAGGTTGTTTCCTAATTTTCTGAGAAATCACCACACTGACATCCAAAGGGGTTATAAAAGCTTGCATTCCCACCAGCAATACAAAAGTGTTCCCTTTCCCCCCACAACATCTCCAGCATAAGTTGTCATCAGTGTTTTTGATCTTGGCCATTCTTACAGGTGTAAGATGGAATCTCAGAGTTGTTTTGATTTGCATTTCTCTGATGACAAAGGATGTTGAACATTTTTTTTAAGTGTCTTTCAGCCATTTTAGATTTCTCTGTTGAGAGTTCTCTGTTTAGGTCTGTATTCCATTTTTTAAAATTGGATTATGTGTTCTTTTGCTGTCCAATTTTTTGAGTTCCTTGTATATTTTGGAGATCAGACCTCTGTCTGATGTGGGGTTAGTGAAGATCTTTTCCCATTCTGTAGTCTGTTGTTTTTTCTTGTTGACCGTGTCCTTTGTTTACAGAAGCTTTTCAGTTTCAGGAGATCCCATTTATTAATTGTTTCCCCCAGTGTCTGTGCTGCTGGGGTTATATTTAGGAAGTGGTTCCCTGTGCCAATGTGTTCAAGTGTACTTCCCATTTTTCCTTCTATAAGACGCAGTGTGGCTGGCTTTATGTTGAGGTCTTTGATCCATTTGGACTTGAGTTTTATGCATGGTGATAGATATGAGTCTATTTTCATTCTTCTACATGTTGATATCCAGTTATGC